CGACTAACGGCAGGACCTCATGCGGCTTGTGCCATAGGCATAAGCTACCGTCGGTCGACCTCATCGACCTAGACGAGTGTCAATCTGAGCGAGATATATCCCGTTATGCCATGCGGTTGACTGGGACGATCCCATACGAGTGGGCCCCTAAGTGGACCACGGATCAGCCCTGTTATGCTCGCGCGGCTCCAGACCATCCGTGGCTTATGGGAGACGGCAGCTGATGGACAGTCGAAGCCCGTGTCTCCCATAGCCGGTATTGGTTGACTGGGACGATCCCATAATGTGGGCCCAAGCGGTCCACGGATCAGCCCGTGATGCTCGCGCGGCTCCAATTGCCTCGATCAGAATGGACGGCCAAGAGGGCTCTTTATGGGTTGTAACTACTGCGGTTGAAACCAGGGACTGTAGAGCCCGTGCGGCTTGCGCCATGGGCAAAACCTATGGGTCGACATAGTCCCTCCTGCTAGAAACCTTGGCTTCCCCCATTGGCTTTCCTAGGCACCACACGTGGTCTTTTGAGTCTGAGTCTGTACGGCACACGGCCGACAGGCTTCAGCCTGATCAAACTGCCTCTGCAGATTAATTTTTAGCCTCTTTTTTATCGAATTTGCAAAGAATAGATATATGGACGAATGAATGTACCCCGCAAGGGATGAATTAATGCCGAATATTGTCCATTAATCCAATCACATTACAAAAAAAATTCTTGACACAATGAAAATCGGTCATAAAAAGAGTAGGGAGGACCCCTGAGGCAGGAGGCAATAGAAATGGGGATACAATTTGGCCATGAATTTTTTGAGATTGCAGACATGTGCTTGAGACATTATGGCGGGAAAATTAGATGAAAATCAAGCAATATGCACAAAATATAGAATGCGATTGTCAGAAACATCAACCAATGCGACACTACTGACCAGGAGTCTTGAAGTTGTTGAAAATTTGAAGAAAAGTTAAAAAACACTTCCACTCTGTAAACACGACTTCTGTGTTGTCCATACAGAAAAATTATGAGAGGTTTTCAACAACTATGTTGTAACATCACAGCTAGCCTAAGGGAGATAACTGCATAACTCTTTTAAGCATACCACTAGGGATAGCTATGACTTAGTTAAAATTTTCATTTCCATTCTGTATGTATCTGTGGAATCCACAGGAATAAGGCAACCATAATCCAGAGGGAATGTTTACGCCTATAACTTATTCCGTAAACAAATATGCATGGTATTTGATATTAAAACCATTGTTTTGTTCCGTGTTTTTGCAACTTTTTCAGTTCCCGCTAAAATTTTGGCGGCCTTCTTGGATTTTGAGCTAAAAATAGCTTTCGCATCAATATTCAGATTGGAACCAAACATTTTTTTAAACTCCTTTAACATATAAACACAAAAGAATATATGATTTGCTTTCATCAAAAAACTTTCACGGGATCCCATAAGCTCCATGACTAAAATGAGAAAGTGCATCCATAATGTTATTTTGTGCGTCTGGAACATGTTCTGACAACACAATGAAGGTATGAATAGCTGTTTGACATGTGCGGGTTCACATCAGTGACATCATGTTAATACATTTTGATCTGCCTTTCCTAATTATATGCACAGTAGCAATATTGTCACAGTGAAACCGTACTCTCCTCTTTGACCACTTGTGTCCCCAGAGAATAGACGACACCACAATAGGATAGAGCTCTAAAAAGTCCATGGATTGTGCTGCATCTGGAAAGTTCTTTACATCGGTAGGCCAAGCCTGGGCAAACCATGCCCCACTGAAGTATCCTCCATGTCCTACACCCCCAGCTGCATCAGTGAATAGGTTGAAATCACGTGTTCATCATGGGAAAAAGAAATGCCATTCCACTGGTTCAGAAATTTTCTATGCATTACTATCTGACATTCCCTAGATAGCCTGATATGATGGTGCAACTTGGTAATTGAAGTTGACAGTCGAATCAGGTACGACAGGAATGATCTGCCCGGGATAACCACGCGACACTCATTGTTTAAGTGTCCCAGCAATAACAGCAACTCTCTCTTTGTGCACTTATTCCGATTAGAGAATGAACTTAACACAGCCCTTATTCTTTTCAACTTGTAATCTGGTAGCTTTGCTGTCATAGTCTCTGAGTCCAAGATGATCCCTAAATACTCTAGACACGTGACAGGTCCTTCAGTCTTGTGTACTGCTAGTGGAATATTTAGATTGTCAAACAAGTCTAGGACTGCTTTCATAGTTATACTGGCTTCATAACAGGGAGGGTCAATTGTCAGAAAGTCGTCTAAAAGATGTAGAATATTTTGCATGCCATGGTTGTACTGCAACATCCAGCACAAGGCTTGTGACAGGGCATCGAAGATCTTTGGACTTGACCTGCACCCAAAGGCCAATCTGGTATAGAAAGAATACTCTGCATCCCATCGGAAACCAAAGAAAGGTCAGTATTCAGGGTGCAGGGGGATCTGCTTGAAAGCGTCAGTAATGTCCACTTTGCACATTTGCGCCCCTTGTCCTAATTGTTTTAAATTGCAATTGCATTGTCTATGGTGACATATGAAAGTGAGGCAGATTCCTTACTGATAAGATCATTAATACTGGCAGTATGCTCTGTGTCGTGTGGAGCTGACAAATCCAAAATTAACCTCTTCTTACCAGAATACTCCTAAGGGGTTAACTCTGTACACAGGATAGGGTGCCTGTCGAAATGGTCCTAACACATATCCTTTGGCTACTTCTGCCTATACTGCCTCTGTCACTACCACTGGATCCGAAGTAGCACTACGATTGTTCGAAAATTCTGTCGTGGATTGGGGAATATCTGACATTAGAGGGGCAAAACCATATTGCAATCCGTTCACAAGGTATGTCACAAACTCGGGACAGGGATGTGATGCCAGTGCTGTCTGAACCGCCTGTACGTCAGTAGGTGACTGACTGAGTTTAGTTTTACGTCGCTTTTAGTATTATTCCAGCAATATCACGGCAGGGGACACCAGAAATGGGCTTCACACATTTTGCCCATGTGGACGTCAGTAGGTGAAGGGTGAACAGGTACACTATCTTTTTCCACATTTACTTCCAGTGGTGAAGGTCAGGCTTGGGTATCCCGCCTAGACTTGCTGGGAGACTTAACACAATTTGCCTGTCCATGGGTATTGGCGCTACAACTAATACATACATGAAGGTACATACAGTTGGATCTTGTGCAACCCTGGTGATTAAAGTTGTTGCAAATCTCCCATCCATTAGACCTAACCCGTGGCCGTCCCCTCGTGTCATTGCTGTCAGTAGCACCCTGGCAGTCTGATAAGATGGTCCTGTCAGCCAAGTTATTTAGCCTAACTCTCTCCATCCGTCGCTCTGGACACAAGTCTGTACCGTGAGTAATGCTATGGCATATATTGCATGATCTCGAACGCCGACCGGATGAGCCCAGTCCATACAAACGCGTGTCCCTCATGTCCCACCGAATGCTGCATCCTTTCTCTGCATAAGAGGCCACTCTGGCAGCAAACAACTTGTGATAATCGTAATGTGAGGTACCCCCATAATTCGTAGCCAGTTCAATCACAGCTTGCTCATGTCCATCTAACTGCTTTCACTTAACGTCATTGTTCTCACAGTAAATGTCCTTGTATATACCAAAAGCCTGAATAAATTCCGCTAAGGTGAGTGAACGGTTTAACATGCCATCGTCTTTCAAGTGGTAGACATTGCCATCAAATTCTGCCAGTCTTGAATCGAAAGCATCTTGATTTGGCAATAAAAGTAGAGCAAGGTTGCAATACTTGCCGTCTTGGATCCTCCTTTTGAGAGCAGGAGCCACTGTGTGGATGTGCGGCAGCAAATCTGAGGACACTTCTTGACCTTGCTGTAGTGGGAAGCTGATGTCCACCTCGTCGGCTGGCACTGGTCGTTGATATGCAACGTTTGCCACCATACTCTTCAACTCCGCCAATTCCCATTGTAGACTTGTGACGGTGACCAGGGGCACGAAGTTGGCTGTCGTGTTGGCGCTGTCCTCGATCGTATTCAAGGTTGACTGATTGGTACGTCTAACGAGTATGTCCGGATTAGGGGGTTTGATTTGTCCTTCGACTACATTCGCTGCAGTATCCAGCATCGCCGCCACACTGTCCGAAGATGTCACTGTCGCTGCTACTGGCCTTGACTCTCCTGGAACAATGGGAGCAAGGTCTTTCTTGGCCAATTCCTTGGTACGCTGACTCTGCGTTCAGCTAGCTGTTTTCGTAACTCAGCCGCTGTGAGATATGGCGACTACTGAGTTGCACTGCATCACTACCGGAAGTGTGATCATTGAGCATGGTTGCCACCTGGTCCGTGTTGACATCTGTATTATCGCTGTCACCCTCGTTAACCCGATTACGCCTCCTTCTGGCTGCTTGAGATTGTCTCCTCTCTGCCATTATTGCTGCAAGATAGCCTACGGCTACAGCCACAAGTCGGATGGCAGTGGCAATGCAGGAATTCTGTCCCGATAATAGTCAATAGATGATACAGTTCAGTGGCTTGAAACAATGGAGAAAGTATGGGTTAATAAAGGTAAACAAGGTGACGTCATGTCCACCTTACTGAGCATGCGCATTTGTAATCAGAAGGAGAAATACACATTCCCACTCCTGCAATTAAGTGAAAAGGGCAAATACAACCTTCACTGAAACATTGACCTTACACACAGGTCAGCACATATTCAGAGATAAGAATGAGTATGAGTGAAAAAAAAGAGGAAATGAGCAGGGCATCTTAAGGGCTGCAGATTCTAGAATGACCCGAGCACGATCAAATCTGGAATACCACTGAAAATTCTCATCCCAGCACACCGGAACAACTGAGTTTGCAATGAAACAATTTTTGGGGTGTACAAACTATGGTAATTATTTAACCTCTAGTGACCTTGATTAACCTTGATTTTCAACAAGTCTAATCTGATTTCATTACTATGAAGCTGCTAGTTTGAGACTTTTTATTTGAACACTTACCTCTATTTTCACCAGAAAGGGTCATTTGAAGTTTCTTCAAAAAATCTGAAATGTAATTATACTTATATTAATGTTCATCTAATATGAGAATATTCATGGCATTGTCATTGTTCTCATATATATTTGTCAAGATTTACCCAACAACTATTTGTTGAAATTTCTATGTTGAAGAACCACTCGCACATTTCAATGTAATAATTGATTTTGACTTGAAAATTTGGAGTCAACATACACATTACACATCAGTCCATAGTAACTTTTTCATGATTGGCACTCAAGCTCACCTGGATATGTAGTCAAAGTGTTAAATGTGTTAATTGTCAAAGACACTCAACAAATGATGCTGTGAGCATTGTCATTCAGATATTTTTCTGCATAAATACTGTTGACAAAATTCCAAATAGTAAACATGAAACATGGAAGACATGTAGAAACATGAAGCTGATTCTTACAAAGGTTTGCACATCCGTTTTTCATTTCATATCTCAATGAACCCAATTATTTAACAACTAACCCTTAATCAATGAAAACATGTTATCTACAATAGTTGATTTGTAGATAGTTACTAAGGTGACATAATCCCCAGCCGCAAATTATCAAATCAAACTTAACAAGAAGACAAAGTCATCAATACCCCCTGCAATGGCAAAATACTCTTAATGATTATGTCTACGAGTTATGATTATGTCAAAGATTTGGTGTGTATATAGAAAAGTGGAAGGAGAGTATTTAAAGGTTTTTAAAGTTCTGCTCCAGAAAGGAGCACTATCACCAATTTCAGTCTACGTCAAACTTGTTGCCTTGGAAATGCCAAAAATATTTTATTCAGAAATCCAAAAGGCACCAGTACACCACCAGATCTATGTAACACTGAACGGTTTTAGAGTTTTGCTCCGGAAAAGTTCACTACCACTAATTTCTGTTTTAGTCAAACTTGTTGCCATGGAAACGCCAAAAATATTTTATTCAGAATTCCAAAACTACCAAAAAGGAACCAGTACACCGCCAGACCAATCAATGTGCCAAGTTTGGTGAAGAAATGGTGAACGGTTTTAGAGTTCTGCTCCGGAAAAGAGCACTACCACCAATTTCAGGTTAAGTCAAACTTGTTGCCATGGAAATGCCAAATATATTTTATTCAGAATTCCAAAACTACCAAAAGGCACCAGTACACCACCAGATCTATGTATGTGCCACGTTTGGTGAAGAAATAGTGAACGGTTTTAGAGTTCTGCTCCGGAAAAGAGCACTACCACCAATTTATGTCTAAGTCGAACTTGTTGCCATGGAAATGCCAGAAATCTTTTATTCAGAATTCCCAAACTACCAAAAGGCACCAGTACACCACCAGATCTATCTATGTGCCAAGTTTGGTGAAGAAATATTGAACGGTTTTAGAGTTCTGCTCCGGAAAAGACAAATGTGCACGGACGGACGGGCGGGGGATAAAAAGTAATGAAAGCGAAGGTCGCAGTTTAAGATGAAAAGTAAATGTCAACTAAAACATGACCAGTCAACCTCTCTTGATATCTTGCTCTGTAGTTGTCAAAACACACAAATACTTATAAAAAAAAGTAAAAAATAGTAATGAAGAAATTGCTTATCAACAAAAAAAAAAGTCTTGAAAGTCTAAGAAGAAAATCCAGAGAACCGTTCTTGTGATATTTTGCTGACAATCTTAACATGCCTGTTAACATACTCAAATCATCTGATGAACCTAGGTACCAAATATGAAAAGAATCTTGTCAACGGTTCTTAAGATAGTCAAATTGTACGTACGTACGGACGGACAGAGCCTAATACTATATTCCCTGCTTCGTGACAAACGAGAGGTGGCTATAAAAACAATTATGTAACACAAGCCAGATAATTGCTAGTGTGAAGACCCAGCTTGAAAAATTTGAGATAGAAAGAACACCAAAGATAAGAACTTTGGGGAACCAAGGCAAATATGAAAAAAACTATCTGAGTAAGGTTGCATGTCTTGATTTTGAATGCAGTGATGTATTTATACTGGATGTAGCCAGATATGTTGCTCATACTGTGTCTTCAGCCTTTCTCCAAGGCATACTGTTTAGGTGGAAATTTCAAGTAAGCAGAAAATTATCATATTTATCAGGTTTTCTAAACAGATGCAAAATCCTATGAAATGCAAAATATATTGCATAATTAATTTTTAATCACCTTCACTTTGCTACTGTTAATTGGTTTCAACTGTAATTAACTGTAGTCATTTTTTTCATTTGTTGTATAATTTTTCTCTCTCAACATTTTCCCCACAAATCCGATGTTGTAATGGTTTTTGTGGTTGATGATTTTCGAATAATGTTCTGACACAGGAAAATATAAAATGTCAGGATGTCATAATAACAACATAATATTGTTCTGTGTCTATCGTTACAAGAAGGACAATTCTGATAATTGTTGATGTTGATTCATGAAACTGTTTTCACAGAAACGGATAAAACAGATCTAGTGTAATTTTTACGGCAATTTGATTTCTTAAAAATTGGAATGATGGGATCAAGAAATATTCATTGTCTGAGTGGATTCATTTAAATTAAAATCAGTATTTACTTTAGACATTAAAGCAGGTATTAAGCACATCTTTTGTTCTCCAAGTAGGAGCAAAATTGAAATGATTTGGTTGCCTCAGAAAGCAGAGCTTTCAAAGTTTTCAACTTGACTAAACAAATTAGTGGTCAAGTGACCCAATGCAAGACTTGAAAGCATTTAGAATTTGCACTGGTGGAACCTAAAACTGCAAAATGCAACCTCATATTTATGCCTACTTGCACACTGAGTATGTTCATATTTTGCTGTTAAAAACAGACTTCATCTGGGTAACAGAATGGTGAGGAACTGGCTTGGAGCAATGAGTGACCATTATTGTTCATGTCATGATATTTCATGAAGTAATATAAAAATGATCACATTTGTAGCAATGATGTTGTAAATCATCAGTACAAAAAAACGAAAAAATAATAGATAATCACATATTAAGCAGGCTCTGAAGTGCAACCTGTTTATGTACGGCATCAAGGTCATAACGTAAGATGGCAACAGGTGCAAATAGATTTTGCCTACCTAAATCGAGCCCTGCAATAAATTGGAGCTAATTTATTCAATTTGGATTTTCTATTTAAATATATATGAATATACTGAAGGAAACACATAAAGGATCGCATTTATCTTTGAGAATGATATCTAAATGACTTGGCGGTTTCAATGATAGTTTTGTTGTAAATCACGCAAAACCTGGCACCGAAACGCACCATATTCTCTTGACTATGGAACCTCTACCGTCAGACTGGTGATGTTGTGATGAGGAAAGGTCAAGGAAGACCTAAGAACACCACACCTATAGTTTGGCATGAAATCCATGTGGACTCGTTTTTTAGTAAATATCTCTTCATTCAATGACCCAATCGATCGCAAACTGCTTGCAGAGGGAGGGAGCCAATGACCTGTAACAGCGGCAGTGTTGGGTCATAAAGGTAAATGCAAGTGCACTTCATGATAGTTACCTGTGCACTGCACAGTGATAGACCGTTTGGATCATTCACATTGACTACTTCTAGCTGTCATCATGAAAGGTTATTCAGATGATGCTAAACGTTTAATTAGAAATGTGTCGAATATTTTTCCAAAAAAGAGCAAACGTAGCAAACCGATTTATAAGGTGTCAGATTACATGAAACGTACAACTTTTGCTCTTGGCATGAACAAGAACATTGTGTTAAAAAAATTGTGAAAAATAAACCAACAACCAATAAACAAAAGCTTGTACAAAAAGGTAGGCATCCAAAGTTAGATTCTTTTGACATCAGGGTCATCAGAGATGTCATTCGCCGGCTATTTGCTAGAAATGAACACCTTTTCATACCTGTCACGTGCATAGGTGACCTACATTGACAAACATTGACGAACGTTGACCTTTATGACCCTTTATGCTCCCTCCCTCTGCAAGCAGTTTGCATTCTGCTGTTTATTTTGTTGACAGTTACATAGACAGATTCTTTAATACAAATGCATAAAATCGGTGATTTACAATGTGATTAGGTTGTCAGACAAAACATCCACTTGCACAGTTTGAGATCGATTGGGTCATTGGATGAAGAGATATTTACAAAAAAACGGGTCCACATGCATTTCATGCCAAACTATAGACAGGACCGAATGATCATATGGTGTGCCTTACAGGATTACTTTAAACCAACATCCAAGATAGAAGCTGAGCTCAGGGCTGCCACACAAGTACGGGTTTGTAAATGAACAGTAAGCAACAGACTCAAAGAAGCAGGTCTAAAAAGCAGGCTACCGTTTGTTGGTGTTAGAATAACACAACAACATCAGCAACGGAGACTGGAGTGGGTCATTCGCATTACAGTACAATCAGAAATTATTGAGAATTTAAAGATTGTAATTTTTTTTTCCCACTCATTACTCACGTATTAAATGTGAATATTAGCAGAACATAACTCCAGATTCAAAGACAGGTGAACAGTTAGTATTTTGTTAAGTCACCATGGGCAGCAATGCCGGCTTCAATATGGAGAGGTATACTACTGATCAAAGAAGTAAGAAAGTCGTGGTCCATGCTGTCCCAATTTCAGCAATATTTGTCAGATTTTTCTTATTGACACTTTCCTTCATAAGTCCCAACACATTTTCTATTGGACTTAGGTCAGGGCTATAGCTTAGCCAATCTAATAATGTCATATTTTGGGTCCGAAACCAGGCCTGTGAATGCTTTGAACGATATTTTTGGTCGTTGTCCTGCTGGAAAATCCAAAAATTTCCAAAGAACACATGAGCAGATGGAAGTAAATGTCCCTCGAGAATATCTGTGTACCGCTCACTGTTCACATTCCCTAACACAGATATGCCACCCCACACGTTAAATTTCGGACTGTACTTTGAGCGCTGATACAAAGGTTTTTCAATTTGTTTGGTCCAGAATTTCAGTGTATTAGGAAACAGCCACACTGAACTTTCATCTGAGAAAATCACATTGTCCCAGTTAAAATTTCTATGCTGTAAGC